TAAGTGAAATAAATAAGTCACACATGTGTAAATATCAAATAGTTTCCCTGGTGTGAATATTCTGCAACAATGCATAAGATTCTAATAAGATTACTGACATTTAGAAATTTGAAGAAAGGAGCTAAAGGTGTAGGGAAGGTGTGATGCGTAGGGGAAGAACAAAAAGGGAAAAGAAAAAAATGTGAGAGAATGAAAAGATGAAAATAAAGTGTTTGTAGATGGGGAGGGGAGGAGGAGGTGAAGGGAGGGCAGAGGTAAGGGGAAAAAATGAGAATCAAGACTTGCCATGTAGAGGTACATTATCCCAACAATGAATGTAACTGTACTGTATCCCTAAAATGTACCAATAAACTCAATAAAATTAAAAAAAAACTGCTATAGAAAAGAAACAAATCACTTATAAAAGAAAACCCATCAGAATCTCAACACAAACGCTCAAGTCTAGGGCAGCTTGGAGTGAAGAATTTGAAGCCTTAAAAGAAAAGAACCTACAGCTCATACTGATGTACCCAGCTACATTATCTTGCAAAACGGATAGAGAAATAAGATGAAGAGCATCTGAAGAAATTCATGACCACAAAACCAGCACTCAAATAAGTTCTGAAGGATATTCTAGAAGAAGACAACGGAACAAAAATTCCATGAATCCCAATGGAATGAATCTACCAGACAAGTCAAGAAATTAAACAATGGGGAGAGAAAGGGAACCAATAAAAGGAAAATAATATGACAAAGATAATTCAATACATATCAATTATAACCATCAATGTAAAAGGTCTCAATGCACCAATCAAAACAGGCTGGCTGAATGGATCAAGAAACAAGATTCAACAACATTCTGCACATAATAAACACATTTAACTCAAAAAGAAATTTATAGACTGAAAGTTCAAGGATAGAAAACAAGTTACGATGTGAAAAAAACCCAAAAAGGTATTCCACATGCAGACAATGATTTTAAGCTAAAACTGATCAGAAGAAATTAAAAAAGGCCACTACATATTTGTTAAGGGAACAATCCAAGAAGAAGAGATAAAAATTCATTAATATATATGCACTAAATGCCAGAGCACACAACTGTATAAAATAAACATTAATGGATATGAAAAATCAGATAAGCACTAATACAATTGTAATGGGGGACTTCAATGCCTCACTGACACAAATAGATCAACTAGACAAAAAAAAATCAATAAATATCAGCACTGAAGCAAACCCTTGAATAAATGGACACAGTACATATCTACAGAGTGCTCCACCCCACAACAGAAGACACATTTTTGTCAGCTTCAAGTAGAACTTTCTCCAAAAGAAATTACATACTAGCTCATAGAAGATGCTTAAATGCAAAGGAACTGAAATTATCCCATGGATATTATCAGATCATAGTAAAATGAAGTTGGAAGTCAATGGCAAAAGAAATAGCACTCTCCTGAATAACCAATAGGTCACATATGAGATTACAGAAGAAATTACTTTCTACAATTAAATGCCAATGCCAATATGATTTAATGGAGTTTAAGGGATGCAATGAAAGCAATCCTATAAAGGAAATTTATGCTGCTAAATTCCTACAGCACAAAAATAGAGGAAGCTTAAGTAAATAACATAATGTTGAACCTCAAGCTTCTAGAAAAAGAAGAGTAAGTTAAATCCAAAGCACATACAAGGGAGGAAATTACAAAGATCAGAGTAGAAATTAATGCAACTGAGACTAAAAAAAAACAATACAAAGAATCAATGAATTGAAAAGTTAGTTGTTTGAAAGATCAAATAAAATTAACACTTAGCCAATGTTATCAAAAAAAGAGAGAAAAAAAGACTCAAATCCATGCAATTAGGAATGAAAAAGATAAAATCACAACAGATCCTGCAGAAATCCAGAAAATCATCAATATCTATTTCAAGAATCAGTACTCTAACGAGACAGAAAGCACAGAATAAATAGACAGATTCCTAGATACATATGAACGACCAAGTTGAAAAAAGATATAAAAATTCTTATAACCCAGGATCAGTCAATGAAATTAAAAAAGTAATCTAAAAAAAACTACCAACAAGGAAAAGCCCAAGTTCTGACTGATTTACTACTGAACTCTATAAGAACTTTACAGATGATCTAATGCTATTATTCTTCAAACTATTTAATGAAATTGAAAAAGAAGCAATACTCCCAAACTCATTCCTGGAAGCAAGAATTACCCTAATAACAAAACCAGAGAAGAATCCAACCAAAAAGGAGACGTACAGGCCAATCTCATTAATAAATATAGATGCAAAAATCCTCAATAAGACACTGACAAACAGAATGCAACAAATCATCAAGAAGATCAAACACCATGACTAAACAGGATTTATCCCAGGGATGCAGGGATGATTCAACATATGCAAATTGACAAATGTGATACACAACATTAACATAATCAAGGACAAAGTCACATGATTATTTCAAAGAACACACAAAAAAAGCATTTGACAAAGTCCAACACTCATTCAGGATAAAAACATTAAAGAAAAGTGGAACAGAAGGCCTTTATTTCAATCTGATAAAAGCCATCTATTTCAAACCAATAGCCAACATCATCCTAAATGCCCCAAACCAAAAGTTTTCACACTGAAATCAAGAGTAAGATAAGAATGTACACTGTCACACTCCCATTCAATATAGTCCTGGAAACATTAGCCAGAGCAATTAGACCAGAGAAAAACATAAAAGGAATGTGGATAGGAAAGAAAGAAGTTAAAGTATCATTCTTTGTGGATGACATAATTAATACTCTACATAGAAGACCCTAAAAACAATTAATAACCAAGTTTCTTAGCATAGCAGGATATAAAGTCAGCACTACAAAATCAATAGCATTCTTGTACGTGAATAACAAACTCAATGAGAGAAAAATTAAGGAAACAACGCATTTCATAACAGCATCAGGCAAAACAAAAGACAGGAATCATTCTAATAAAGAAAGTAAAAGACCTTCACATTGAAAATTATTGTAATATGAAAGAGAGCAAAAAGGATATCAGAAAATGGAACGATATCCCTTGTTCTTAGATAGGCAAGGACCAATATATTAAAAATGGCTATACTTCTAAAACTATTACACAGATGTAATCCAATCTCAATCAAAATGCCAATAGCATACCTCATGGAACTAGAGGAAACAATTCTAAAATTCAAATGGAACCAGAAAAGGCCTACACAGTAAAAGCAATTCTTCGTACTGCCCTAAGATCTGAATGCGACGAGGTATTGAAGAAGCGATGGCTTACAAACTTGCGAAACCAGGGCCTAAGGGACTTTCAGAAAACATAATGGACCAAAGTCATATCACTTTTGGCAGGATTAAATACTCAGATCTAGAGAAAAGTAACTTTATTCACAAAAAGATTTTAACATTGACCTCTTGGCTATCTTTTTATATATTCTGGATACGTTAAGTAGAATCTCAAAGAAAACGATGGTGAAAAATGGTATTTTATTATCATAGGATATTAAAGTATACATGATAAATCTATTAATATTAGCTATGTAATAATTTTATATGTACAATATAAATACAATAAGGCCAAGAAAAAGCATATGAAAGCTTAAGATAAAAATAAGTTAAGAAATATCATATTGACAAATAATGACAGCAGGCAAGGATCAATAATGAAATAAGGTATAGGTTTAGAAAGTGGAAAATAAATTTCAAATTAAAATTCCAAACTAAGTAAAACCATTGCTATGACACTTTCAACATTACCTTTGTTTCAAGTAATATTAGCGCAAAATCACTTGCAAACAACAGTAGTTAACATTTATTGCAAATGGTTATCACACTGTGTTCCTCTGGCACCTGACATATTTCTCATAGTGCCTAGAAGCCTATACGGGTGAAAAGAAATGAGAAGCTAAACAGGATGGTGCTAGACACCCTTCTCTCTTCTGCCATAGTCATACCTCTTTTATTTGTTTGGTATTTTACAATGCTGCTTATGATTGTCTGTAATAGAAATTTTCCAGCTATTCCTCTATTGAAAAGGCTTGAATATAATTATTTTACAACACTGCAAAACTGAGTGATTTAGATAAAACACGAAATTACTGATGAGTCAAATACAAGAAACTATAATACTGTTTTCTTATACTTTTCTTATTATTTACCTGCATTTCTAAAGACTTGGCTTACAAGACTATAAACTACTACAGGCTTACACGTACCCCAATTCAAACAGTGGCCAAGGATGACTCTGAATTTGATGTAGTGATTCTCCTTGTATAGGAAAGGAATAACAAGTATGCATGACATACCTAGTTTCTGATAGAATTATCACTGTGTGTACCATCAAGTGATAAAAGCTCTCTTGCTTCCATGCGGCACACTGCAGCCTGTCAGCATGTGTGCTTGTGTTTGTGCAAGCATTAATGTGTGTGAAAGAAAAGCCTCTCAACTAGGGGTATAAATTCTTTTTTTTTTTGTATCAGGGATCAAACTCGGGTCCTTGCACTTGAAGGCATGCAGCAGAACCATTGAGCTAAATTCTCAGCCCTAGGGGTATAAATTCTTTACAATTTTGCTAATGAAAACTAAGAATATGATATTTGTTTTCTGAAAAAAATGAAGAATCTTACTGAAGCCTTACAAATAACATATGATAAAAATGTCTTTAGCATTTAAATGTCTGAGTTGTGAAAAGCAATGGTGTGAAAAAAGACATTAATTTAGAAAAATCCATAAATCCTACTTTATTTTCATTAAAATTTTCTGAAAGTTACATGTTTTTCTTTCAGATCATCTGAAATACAGCCTTAATAGGAGTTAAGTTTTACACCTGTGCTCCCTTTTAAAGTGAACTACATTAAAAACATTATTTTTGAAACAATATCCAAAAACTAATATCTTATTATATGAAATATAAGCATAATCCATTTTATGAAACCAAAAATAAATCTTTAAAACTAAAAGGAAAAGATATTCTCAGTGTTCGTAGTATAGAATTTAGGAAAATCATACCTCATCAGTGTTATAGATAATCTGGAGTCCTGAAGAAATCATTTCCACAAGATAAAGGAGATAGAGTGACACTGCATTTATCTGAAAATAAACAGTAATATTAAAAGGTTAAATGAAAACAAATATTATGTAAAGAAATTAAATGTAAAAGCTAAAAGTACAAGTCATTTGCTCTAACAGTACCATGTAAAAACTATTTCTTTTTCCTATTATGATATAAAGGAGCTACAGATTTAGTTCATAATGAAATCTGTTTTGTATGTAAAATTGAAAAATCATCAAATTCATTGCATTGTGTTAACACTTGATAAGGGAAATGGCCTCAATTAGAATTGTTAATACTACATAACATTTGTTCATAAGATTTATCTTCAAACTTGGTCTAAAATCTTTCCACTTTAGAGTAGTTTTGTTTCACAGAAGCTTTATAATATCCCTTCATCTGTATATGTAAATGAAAAGTTATTTGGAAAGACTTTATTACTATGTGAGAACTAAATAAACACCAGGAAGTATATCTTGAAACCAGTTATATTTCAGACAAAACAGTATTTATGTAAACAACTTCAGAAACCCATTAATTTTAGTAAATGGTATAACATATAACATAGAATATATTTATAAACAAATTACTTTTATGAACAAAAATGGGATAGACTTTTAGTTCATTAGTCTCTTTAAAATAGACATCATATAATCTAATTAAAAAGACAACATCCACCTTCACAAAAAAAGATTCTCATAAAATTCTGAATGGAACGTATAAGCTGCGTCATGTAAATAATCACTAAAGTTACATGCTATGACATGTTGAATTTTCCATGTCAACTTCACTGAATAAAGGGATACCCACAAAATTAGTAGAATATTATTTCTAGGTATGGCTGTGAGGTATTTCCAGAAGAGATTGGGAGCTGAGTCAGTGGACTGAGTGGGGAAGGTCCACTCTCCATGTGGGTAGGCACTATCTAACTTGTTGAGGTCCCAGATGCAATAAAAATATAGAGGAAGGGTACATTTCTGCCCTCTCTTCCAAAGCCAGAGTATTCTCCTTTCCCTCTTTCCCAATTTTTTTTTTTGTTGTTGTTTTTTGAGACAGGGTCTATTTAGTTGACACTGACCTGGAGCTCACTATGTAGCTCAAGCTGGTCTTGAATTCACAGCGATCCTCCTGCCTCAGCCTCCTGAGTGCTGGGATTACAGGCATGCACCACCACACCCCACTGCATGTGCCAAGATGCCCGGCTTCCCATGTTTAAATATCAGAACACAAAGCTCTTGTTCAGGGGCTCCAGCATTGTCATCATTTCCCTTCTCCCCAGCTCTTGGTTCTCTGGCCTCTAACTGAGATTTATACCTTTAGCTTCCGTGGTTCTGAGGCTTTCCGATTTGAACCAAGCAACACTACTGGCATCCCTGGCTTTCCAGGATGCATACTGCCTATGATGGGACTTGGCCTCAATAATAATGTAAGCCAAGATAGGCATAATGCTGCACACCTGTAATTCTGTAATTCCAGGATGCTGGGAGGATAAGGCAAGAAAATCATTCATTCAAGCCCAGCCTGGATAAATTAGGAAGACTCTAACTCAAAATAAAAACTTTAAAGCATAGGCTGGGGGTATAGCAAAGGTCCTACATTTAACCCTAGTATCACAAAACAAACAAACACCACCTGAGCCAAACAGGCAAATCCAGAGGCAGAAAGTAGACAGGTGGTTGCTTAAGAATAGGGAATTTAAGTGACGAATTTTAACAAGACAGAAAATTGCAATTCTGAGTTAAAAATAAGAAAGATATAATTTTTAATTATAAACAAATTCTATTAAAAGACAGAATTTTAAAATTCCAGCACAGAAGACTAGTATGCTTTAACAGCTTTGGTTAGTTGTGTTTCCCTGGACTTACCTCTAACCCTAACTGAGTGACTGACAGAGTGTTAGGCAGAACACTATTGGTGCCTTCAAAGTCATGATCAAAGCAGGCCATGTGCCACCAGGGCCTGACACCAGGCTGATCCTGGATGTCTCTTGACTTTCTAGTACTCAGGGAGTAGTAGGTGTGAGGGTCTTGTCAGGGTGCAAGAAGGATATAAAGAAAAATGGAGCATTCAGATTTCAGGTCTTCTAGAGCAACATAAACTTTTGAGTGACCTCTCTCAGAAACTAGTACAATTTCCTCCCACTGCAAGGCTCATCTAAATATCTTCTTCAAGCACTGACATTGGCCTGTCTGAAACATTTGAAAGGGACTTTATTCTGCTAGACAGGCATGTGACTATAGGCCTGTAATACCTGACAAGTTGAGGTAAATGCATCACAAGTTTGAACTCAGCCTGGGCCACTGAGTAACTTAGCATGGTTCTGTCTCAAAATACAAAAACTAAAATAAAATGGCTGGGGATATAACTCAGTGTGAATGAACTGAGTTCAATACCCAGTACTGGGAAAAAAAAACAAAAATTTTTTTTTTAATTCTCATAGACAGCCAACTATGTTCTAAGGTCTTCCTTAGAACAACAAGAGAAGAGCTCTCTGCTCAGACTTTTGAAATGTTCCTGTAAGAAAAAATAAGGAATCAGAAAACTATAAAGTATTACCAAACAATAGGATGAGTAATATTTATTTAATAGCTACCATGCTGCCAAGCACAGAGCTTAAATTCTGGGATACAAAAATAAATCCTAGAAGTGAGGATTAGTGATGAGCACATATAATCCTAGTTTCATGGGAGACTGAGGCAGAAAGATCTCTTGAGCTCAGAAGTTTGGGATGAGTTAACATAGGACCTTGCCTCTTAAAAGAAAAACAAAATAAGCATGATGTATGGCACTGGCCTAAAAACAAAGAGACCAATGGAACAGAATTCAGAACCCAAAAATAAAATCATATTTTTGCAACCAGTTGATTTTTTTAAAGGCAGCAAGAATATATACTGAAGAAAAGCAAGTTTCAAACAACGGTAGAGTAAAGAGCAACAGAAAAATATAGCATGTATGTGACTTGGAATTACAACATCAGGAAAACAACTTGATGAAGATAAAGCGATCTCCAGAAATTTGGAAAGAGGTGACAGGAAAACTATACACCACAAAGAAGCTAGAGAAACTCAGTACAACACAGAAAAAAAGGATGAAGCAGTCTGTGAAGTCAACCCTGCCTCCTGGGGAAGGGACCTGTCTCATTCCACACAAGGAAAACCCTGAAAGAGTTGGCAGCTCCACAGAAACAATGGAGTAGGCTGCCGGTGCAACACAACAAAATCTCAGAGCTACTATCAACCGCAAAATCATCCTTTTGCATGGTAGGCTAGAGTTGGAGAAGAAATCCATTGCAGCACTGCCGTATGTCAGAGTGTTTAATCAGGAGCCATTGTGGAAGGGATAATTAAGACTGAGCTACAGAGCAACTACAGAACAACTACACCTCAGGGTCTCTGGGGCACCCCACCACAGTAACTAGGTGGAAGACTGCTACAAGAGACAGTCTCAGAGTCTAAGCTCAGGCCAAGAAGAATATGGGGATCTACCCTCCACGGTGAGAAGCCAAGTCAGTCATGTGTAATGGTTTTCTAAAAGTACTGGCATTAATTCCAGTGATTACCTGATACCCCCTCCCCACTCCATTCCACTGTCTACACCCAGCACAGAACACTAGTCTGTTGGCTTTCTCTATCTGACAGCATGATCAGGGACATGCCTTGGCTTGGATAGTTACCATAGCTGAGCATGTACGGACAGAGGGGCCTCTGGAGTGGGGTGGGGGGGTCTCACAAAACCAAGAGGCTATGAAGTTAGGCAAAGAAACCAGTGACAGGGTACTCAGAGAGACACAGAACCTTAGTTACTTAGTTAACTATTATTTGATTCTTTTCTAATGTCAATGTTGGTATAATTGTTAAACAGCAGATATTTAACATACGTCAATATTTAGTTTCTCCTTGTGTTTATATTATTATATTATTTATATTATTATTATATTATTGCTGCAGATTTCTTTTCTATTGTTAAGTGTGGTACACTGATAGCTTTTGTTGGTTCTTATGGTATGTCAATATCCATTTTGTGTGTGACTCAATTCTTGTTGCTTCTTTCAGTGCTATTACAAGGGCAGCATAGTTTTTGCTATGAATTGGTTTTTACTGTATGTCAATATCTAGCTTGTCTTTCTGTCACCAACAGTATGACAGTTCGGTTCCAGAGAACCTGGTGTTGGGCCAATTACACTGTATTCTTCCCTCTCCAAATTAACAGAGTTGGTCAGATCTTAGAACAAAGGAAAAGGGATACAGTCTGCCTGCAGAGTGCATCACTGGAAAGCAAACACTATAGATATCCAACTAGCAATAAGTACATCAACTATAATTGACCTTCAACTTTCAACATGCCTAAATGAAAAAAAGAAAAACGAGACAGCAAAATGTCTCCAAAAACTCCCAACTTCACCAAAGCCGATCTATGGAGCATCAACAGGGAGGAAATCAAAGCCAAATAGTGAAATTATACAAAGTGATAAAAGAGGAGACCAAAAAAAAAAAAAAAACTAAGATAAAATACTCCACAAGTTCAAAGATGATATAACCACATAATTGACTCAATAAGCAAAGTGATCACTGACCTTACAGAAAACACTAATAAAAAGCCACCTGAGAAAAAGAAAATTATTCAAAATATGAATGACCACTTTAGCAGGGAATTAGAGTTCATAAAAGGTACCAAACATAAATTCAGGAGACAAAAAACTTCTGTTGAAAGTATGCAGCTGCAGAATTGACCAATATGAGGATAGAACTAGAAGACAGGGCTGATGCAGGAGGCCATATACTCACAGATAATTTAAAAACTATAACAGGTCATGGAAAAAGGATCCAACAGCTGCTACATGACAAGACTAATCTAAGATTAACTGGAATTAGTGAAAAATCAGAAGTAAAAAAATTAGAACCTCTTAAAATAAGACTCATTCAAATATGAGTAACCAAAAGGAACAGACACTTATTGGAAGAAGTACAAATGATCAATAAGTATATGAAAATATGCTCAACATCTCTGGCCATTAGAGAAGAGAACTACAAAGTAATATAGCACTACGACTCCATCTTACTCCAGAAAAAGTGATTATTATCAAGAAGTAAAATAACAACAAATGTTGGTGAGGCTGTGATGAAAATGGTAGCCTTCTACATTGTTGGGGAATGAAAATTAGTACAATCACTATAGAAATTAGTATCAAGAGTTCTTAAGACAACTAAAAACAGAAATTCCATTTGAATCACCTTTTTCCTTCTAGGTATCCTTCCAAAATAGTTAAAGACATCATTCAGTGATATATACACACCCATGTTTATAGTAGCACAACTCATACTAACTAAATTTTGGAAGTAGCCTATATGTCCATCAGTAGGTGACTGAATAAAGAAAATGTGGCATTTGTACACAGTAAAGTACTGCTCTGCCAGTAAGGATAAATTTAAGTCATTTATAAGAAAATGGGTGCAGCTTGAGATAATAATGTTAACTGAAACAAATGAGATGCAAAATCTTAAATATCACATTGTTTCTTACAAGAGAAACCCAAAGGCTGAATAAATTGAAAAGCTAAATAAAAGACAGATAAAAGGAAAGAGAGATAGATTTTTTTGTAAATAAGGAATAGACCAAGATATGGAACAAGGTGGGAGGAAAGGGGGAAAAGAGGGTGTGTGAAAAGAATTGAGATGTGCTATGTAGCAACTCCACACAATGAATTAATCATTATGCATTGCAAACATGTACTCATAAATATAAAAAAAATAAAAGTAAGTTTCTTCCATAAATGGTGCAAGAGTGGATATTCATGTGCAAAGAAAGAAACTGGATCCCTGTTTTCTCATCATACACTAAATCTAATCAAAGTAGATAAAAAACTCAAATTTAAAACCAAAATTAAAAATTACTGAAAGAAAATATAAGGAAATACTTCAGGATATGGTCTAGGCAAAGATTTATTGGATATGACCTTAAAGGCACAGGCCTCAAATGTAAAAATTGACAAGCAAGATTATATAAAACTAAAACACTTTTGTACACTAAAAGAAATAACCAACAGAAGAGAAAACCTACAAAATGGAAGAAAATATTTGGAAAGTGTTCATCCTGTGAACAATTAACTTCTAGAATGTATAAAGAACTCAACTCAATAGCACAAAACAAATAGTCCAATTTAAAAATGAGTGAACTATCTAAATAGATGTTACTTAAAAGAGGATACACAAATGGCCAACAATCATGTGAAAAAATGTTCAATACCACTAACCATCAAGGAAGTGCAAATCAAATCAAAACCATAATAACATACCATCTTATCTCAGTTACAATGGCTAGTATCAGGTAAAGAAAAAGCAAATGCTGAGAGGGATGCAGAGGGGACCAGGAACTCATTACACTGTTGGAAGGAATGTAAGTTAATATGGCTATTATGGAAAAAAAAATACAGAAGCTCCTCAAAAAGCTAGAACTAGAACATAACGCTCCAACAATCTTGCCACTGGCTATACACCAAAAGAACTGATATCAGTATGTCAAAGAGACATTTGCACTCATGTTTATTATAGCATTATTCCCAACAGCCAAGATGCGAATCAACCTGAGTCTATCAATAGATAAATTGATAAATAAATATATACAATTTAATATTCTTCAGCCATGAAAAAAATGAAATTCTACAATTTGCAGTAACATGAGTGAAAATGGAGGATCTTATGTTAAGTGAAATAAATCAGGCTTACAAAGACAAATACTACATGTTCTTACTCATAAATGGAAACTAAAAAGTTGATCTCAAAGAAATAGAAACAAAATAATAGTTACCAGAGCCTGGAAAATGTGTTGGAATATGGAGGAGAGGGATGTAGAGAGAGGATGTTTAATATAGACAAGGGTGCACTTGAATAGAAAGAGTATCTTCAAATGTTCTATAGCACAATAGCAGACTAGCATAGTAGGGTAACTACAATTGACAATTGTCAAAGTGATAGATATGCCAATTATACTGACCTGATTTGCACACTGTATATAAGTATCGAAATGTCACATTGTACACCATTAATATGTAGAATTAGTCAATTAAAATACAATTTAAAGATGTTCAAACTATACAAATAGTACACGTTCATCAAAGAATTAGAAAATGAGTGTGGAAAAAAAATAACCTTTAATCTCACTCCCCATTATTTTTTGATGTAAGCCCTTCTAAACTTTTTAACATTTATTTTTTAAATAATGGTCAAATTAATGTTCTATCATTCATATTTTAAATTGAATAATCTAGTGGGCACATTTTTGAGTCAATAAATATAACAGCATCATCATTTAAAAATTAAATGAGCTGTTATAGTCTGAAACCCCATTTCTTATAGTAAAGGTATTTGTCAATGCAAAAGAAATGAAAAAATGTAATTACATTACAGTTATTAGATTAAGGTTGAAAAGATATACATTCATGTAACACTAATTCTCCAAGGAACTATTTAAAAAAAGGTGTAAGATCTTCTGCCTTGTAGAAATGGGGACACTCTACTTTCTATGTTTAGAGGAAACATACTAAAGTAAGACATTTCACATTGCTAAAGAAAGAGGGATAATAAAAAAGGTAAAACTAATTTTAGCAAGGACTATATTATAGAATAAATATCCTATCCCAAAGACAACAGAATCAAATCACATGCAGGACGATAATCCATTAATGAAAAATAACATAAATATTTGTGTCCTGGAAACAAGCCACTGGATATTCAGTTAAAAACAATATACAGGGCCAGGGATTTAGATCAGTGGTTCCACCGCCTGCTTTACAAGCATGAGGACCTGAGTATGATCCCTGGTACCAAAAAAACCAAAAAAACCCCCAATATACAGATGTGAGGGGAAAAATGAAAATAAAGCATAAAATTCTACAATATATTCTTATCATAGATATAAAATTTAATGAGACAAAATTTATGGGCTTTAGAAGTGACTTCTGACATTTCAATGCCATGACTTTAGCTTTATTGAAGGTTAATATATTTTAAAATGAGGTGCTGTGTAACAAAAACTTTTGATATGCTCTTATAGCACTGTTAATTGTCCTTTATTTCCTAATTCTTAAGTGCTGAAATTCTTCTAAATCTGATAACAAATAAATGTTTTTCTTACCAAAAGAATGGTAGGCTTTGTCCTTCTAGCCAGGAATAATGTTATAATATGTCCTCTTGCCCAAGAACTTGGTCAGATTTAATGTTCAATCACAGTACTTACCTCAGTCCTAGTGGTTAGCATGTCAGTTTCTTATCCATTTCAGGGCTCACTTTACACTTCCATTTTAAACAATGTATGAAATCTATTTTAAAAACTTTAAATAGCCTCAGATATTCTCTGATATAGCATACGGAGATGAAAAAAAACCCGTAACCCTTTCTTTTTACCTGAAGATGTCCATATTCCTCATAAGAGAGCAACTCATCACCAGTATGCACATTGAAAACAGAATGAAGACATGTTGTTGGGCGTGGATCCTGTTTAAACTGCTGGACCTGGAAATCAAATGTAAAATTTAAATAATGCTAGTAATTCACTAGCTAAGGAGTACAAGTTTGACATTTATAATAAAATGTATATCAGGCAGGCCACATTTTAGTATAGTAAGTGTTCAAACTTTAAATGTGATTTTCTTTCTCTAACAATCACAAATTTTAACCTATTCCCCTGTTAACATGTTTTCATTTCCACTTCCACATATGCTGTCATTACCAAGGTACTAACTGTCAAAGGACAATGGCCACATCTTTATTAGACATGGAAAAAAATTTTTTTGAGATAGGGGTCTCACTATGTTGGCCAGGCTGGTCTTGAACCCAAGAACCCTTCTTCCATCTCAGTCTCCCTAATACCTGGGACGACTGGCTCATGCCACTGTACCTGTCATAATTATATTAAAATACTAAGTATAAGTACTATGATCCAACGGACAAACTCCAAAGATAAAAATACCCATCCATCCATTTTTATGGGCCTGTTCAATTCTACTTGGGAAATATTTGCTTACGCCAACCATGTGCCAAGTATTGTGCTAAGTCCTGGATGTACTAGATAAATTAGAACAAAAAACCCACAACAGCATAGCTATATGTAATAGCAATGATCATCTTCTTTGAAAAGATTTAAATGATAATAAAACCTAAGTGACTGTGATCTTACCTTGTTATTTGGCTAAAGAACCACGTAGAACCAAATTCTCACCTGCATCTTTCAAAAATCATCTCATCCTTAAAACACAATCTGAGAAATGTTTCTTTAACAAAACCCTTTCAGAACCCCAACCAAAATTCCTTCCTCTGTACTTCCACAGCAGGGTGGTTCTCTCACAGTTACTTCTCTCATACTTTTAACTGTTGGTATTTCCTTGTGATATTGTGAAATATAATCGATTTTCCTCCCCAGTTCCTGAAGAGCCCAGAACCTTTGGAAGTTCCAAAGTGATAGATGTGAAAGAAGCATCTTTTGTGGTTCAAACTATATCCCTTTCAACCATACCTAAGAGTATGCTAATGAGAAGTTAACGAAGTACTTCCTGATATATCACTATAGAACCTGAGGATGGCAGTCTAGTTGGTAGAGGAACCAGCTGGTAATTAGTGTTGAATGTTCAACCTATTTGAACTTTGTATCATCTCAACCTGTCCCTTTCAGCTAAGAGGAAGGAAGAGATGGGCTGGAAAATGAGTTATTCACCAATGACCAATCACTTAATCTATCATGACTACATAATGGGACCTCCAGAAACTCCCCAAAAATAGGGTCTGGAGAGCGTCTAGGTTGGCAGACAACTCATGTCAGGAGGGCATCATACTCCAGAATCTACAGGGAAGGAAGACCTTGCATCGGAGACCTTTCTAGAACTTTCACTACATATTACATCTAGCTATTCATTTGTATCCTTCATGATATCCTTTATATTTAACTGATAGTAATAGCATGTTTTCCTGAGTTCTGTGAGGTATTATAACAAATTAATGATTGTGAGAAAGGATCGATGTCAGATAGATGTATGAGTAAGTTGAAGAAATTTCCCAAATGATTTGGAATAGGTAGCTTGGGAAGGAAGTAGGCTTGTGGGACTGAGCCTTTCACTTGTGGGATCTACACTAAATCCAGATAGTTACTACTAAAACTGAATCAAATTGTAGAATACCCAATTGGTGTTTCCAAATGCAGATTTTTTTGGCCATGGAATATTTACACATTTGTTATCAGAAGTGTGTGAATACAGAAAGAGTTCTCCTTTATACTCTCACTATTTGTATGACTCTAGAAGCCTACACTGTTGAAAATGTTAGTCACCAGCTAAACAAGACTTATTTAATTAAAGTTAATTAAAATTTAAAATTCATTCCCTCAGTAACACCAGCCATATTCCAAGTATTCAATAGCCATATGTGACTAATGGTTACTGTATTTCTTAACACAATAATAATGAACATTTCTATCATCACAATAAGTTTACTGGACAGAACTGTTAGAGAGGCTGAAACACTTTTACTTTCCTCAAAGGGTATATACAAACAAATAAGAGACCTCCCTGTAACTAAAGAACCAGACCAACAAACACAGATCCTATCAGTAAGTGATCTAGACTGAGGGGATGAGGGTATGTTAGGTATATATATATAACCTCTATTCATACAGTGATCAAAACATCCAAGGTAAACAGAGAAGGTGGACAACACCACAATATCAGAAACCACCAGCAATAACCTGAAAATACACAAATAGAAATCAAATAGTCACTCGTTTGCCACCACTATGCTTATTGTCTCAAAACCCTGAACATTGTTCTGGGCTTCTACACAAAAATACACCTAAACTGAGATCAATACATTCTCCCACTTGATGGGGATTTAACAAGATAAGGATTATCAGTTTAGGTAAGTCACTGATGCAGGTGCTTGTCATTTGTCTTCAAGACATTCAAGAACTCAGCAGGAGAGTTTATATTCAATCACTGTGTCAGGGAAAAAGCAAACATGATGTTCAAAGGGGGGATTATATAACTACATGTTGAGTTTTAAAGTTGTTAAAAGACAAGCAATCTAAAATTTCAGGGAAAAAACCAAGATCAAAACAGTACATTCTTTGAAGATTAATGGAGCATATTGTATATCAATTATAAACAAAAAGAACTCTTGAAAACAGTCAAGATACAAAAGGACAATAATTAGTATTTTATATAATATCTAGCATCTGGCAAATAAAGATAAAGATAATGATTGAAGCTAAGTTTTCTGCGCTAAAATCAACCAACTTGTAGTTTGCTTAGATGTTTCCTTAAAACTTTTACCATTATGAATAAACAACATATTTAGAAAAAGACAACTATTTGGTCATCCATTCTTAATATATACCCTTAAAATACACACTTAAAAATGATCATCTCATTAGGGAATGCTGAAGGATAAATTTTATAAAACTTCAACGATTACTCTTTAATTAGATACTACTTAGCAGCATTTAAACACATTTTTGAAATAGATAACTGGACTCAGTGACACTCATATCTTATTGCTAAGCAAATCTCTCCCCTCCAAAATACTAACTATAGATTGGATCAACCAAAAGACTGAATACTTCTCCTTAGGGAGTACTGCACCAAAGAATATATATACATACACACACACACACACACACACACACATATGTTATATGTATATTTTATACGTATATTATATATATATGTATACACATGCATATATGAACATTAAGGAGCAAAACAAACCTGATATTACTATTCAGGCATTAAAAAACAAGTGTCAAGACAGCCAAGATAATAAAATACAGAAATCAGATTGCTCTACATTCTACAAATCAAGAGCAACTCTACTTTTTCTCTTTCTTTTCCTTTTCTTTCTTCTTTTTGGTGTGTTTTTGAGAGAAGGACTTACTATATAGTCCACATTGGCCCAGAACTTGCTATGTAGCCCAAGCTGGCCTCAATCTTTAAATCTTCTTGCCTTAGCCTCCAGAGTGCAAGTATTATAGGGCTATGCTACCATGTCTACCCCACTCACTTTCTTGATAAATTCAAAATATCTCTTTTAGCTAGTGTTTTTAGAAGACACATGAGGAAGACTGTTTTGTAATGAAAATTCAAAAGTGAAGAAGGCTGAGACTTCCTAGGATAATATAAATATTTAAAATTTTTAAAATATATTCATATTTTTAACTGCTACAGATCATTAAGAAAATGTCCAAGGCTGAAAGAGAAGGTGAACACCAAAAAGAGGTATGGTGAGAGGTACTGGTTCAATCTCTCTGAGTCAGCCATTCATATTCACACATGGATCATTAGAACAATCTCTTTTCCTACTCTAAAAGGCTACAGAATCAAGAAAGAGTATAACACCAAAAATTCTTTAATATTTGTAAAGCATATTTTACTCAAAAGTCCAGCATTTTGTGGTATGTACACAATATGATCCAGATCCTTGTATAACTTACAATCATCACACTCATAACTACATAAGGAAAGAAATGCTAATCCTTTACAAATGAGGGATTTCAAATAGCTTAAGTCATACTCAGGTTCTGTTTAAAAGAAAACATAAGTGTGATGACTGGTTAATAAAACTGAACAATGTTTAGAAAAGACCACTACTACAGGGCTAACCAAGCCACAAGGAAAAAAAACCTTAAGCTGTTGTATCATTGCCTTCCTTCTTATGAACAATTCTACTTTAAGTCTGTCAGCTTGTTTAGCAAACACATGAAATGTTTTGTAGAGAGAAAAGGTGAATTCATAAAGCTATTAGACATTCATGAAATGAAATATTGGAAATAAACAATGATTTCTCACTTATAAAAAAGTAACTTTAATCATAATCACATCAATATATGACATAAGAGCTTAATTTTAGCATGCCAATCTATAACCTACTACTTTATTTCAAGCATCTGGAAAACTCCTGCAATAATGATCTGCAAAATCAAATTTCAGCAGGAAACTTAACAGGTTTGTTCTGTATCTCTATTATGAAATAATAAATAAAATTTTTTTCTGTCAACTAATTTTTCCTGTTGCCTTATTCTGGTGACAGAATATAAGTAGTTTTTAAGTTTTGACATCAAATACAGTCTTAGAAGGTTTTCTATAATATCTAAAAATTTCTAAAGAATAAATTAAAATGATATATTCATATGATTAATAACATACAAAATATTAAATGATCATACTGCCTGCATGGTTACTGGTATGAATCTATTGCTAAGCAGTAAAAGTTGAAAACATATCTGAAGTACGTAATATAGAAGAGAGAAGGAAATAATATCAGAACATTTATTTACTGTAAGCTCACCTGGTACCAGCACATCAGGTTTTATTTATTTATTTATTTATTTATTTAATTGTGGTACCAGGGGTCGAATTTGTGACCTTGCATTTGTGAGGCAGGCCACAGAACCACTGAGCCAAATCCCCAGCCCCACACATCAGGTTTTTAATTATTTCATTATCCTTATAAGACCACATGGGGAGTGATACTACAAGTACTATTCTATTTTACACATGAAAAACCTGAAACATGCAGAAGTTAAGTAATTAAGCTAACATCACACAGCTAGTAACAGATTAGAAATTAGTATATGAAAAAACCTGAAACATGTACAAGTTAAGTAATTTACATCACAAAAGCTAGTAACAAATTAGAAACTAGTATATTAGTTGTTACTGATGGTCCAGAAAAGAGTTAACATCATAGGACAGAGACTGCCAACCTTAGAAAACACTACTTATAAGAGTTCCCCTTGGCCAGCATAAAGGAACTCAGATTTTGGAGGGTTCTGTCATAAGAGTGACTCACTATGCTACACTGTTTATACAATGTGGTTTGCATTAAACACCGGTTTACTTCTGGAAGGCTAAAATTTTTTTGCTAAGTGCTAGGCAGAAAGCATCAACATAAGCAGTCGCCACTAAAAACCTCAATTAATAAAAACTCTGAACCTCTAAAAGCTTCTTTGGTAGATAACATTTTTCATGTATTGTTACAATAACTTGCTGGGGAAAAGAAGTGTATCTGTGTGACACCCACAGGCTCTTGGAAGGTGACACTATGTTTCCCTCCAGATTATGCTCGTTAGTTTTTCACTTCAATTATTAAATTTTGTCTATTTTTGCTGTAATGAATCATGCATATGAGGTGAGTCATGTGAGTCCTCTGAGCAAATCATCAAATTGGGAAGTGCTCTTGGGAACACATGACACATTGATCAACATATCTGGACATTTACTACATTAGGACTTGGGAACATAGAGAGGTAGGTAAGTAGAAGGACCAGCATATGACAACTCATATAAAGCTTTACAATTTCAAAATATGCCATGTATATTATTTTCTTTAATTTCCATAAAATCTAGCAAAGTTCAGTTTTCTAAAAGTGCATAACTCCTTGCCTCTTTGATGTAAAAGAATGATGTGTTTTTAAAGTTTACTTTAGCCTGAGCAATTCACATGCCAAAAAGTAATTTGGATAAGCATTTTCCTTAAGTAATATAATACTGGTTACAATTAAGGACATTTGTGAGATTTCTCCAAGACTGAATTTTATCAAGCAAAACACAAATTCATGTCTAGATAAATCTCAATCAACTCTCACTGAAGATACTCCTTCAACTTCAGGATTCCAAAACCATGGGCTGGGAAGGAAGAGGCTATTTTAACTTACTGACACTGCCCTAGGATGTGGCTTTACTTTTTAAAAGTACTTTCACCTTCAGAAGATGCTATTGCAATACCGGATAAATTAATCCTTCAGAATGATGTGAGAAGTTCAGTCCACACCGCAGTGTTTACCTTATCAGCCTGACGCATATAGCAGTACAGAATTCCTCTCATACACTTTATAGCCGAGTGTTCCAGCTCATGGGTCCTTCCCTTGTCATCATCAATGCGCCTGGGAGAGAGAGATAACTCATGAAACAAATTGGAAATGCATTTGAAGAGGAAGCAGAGCTGTTGATAATTAAGTATTTAACTATCTGGCTAATCCTGTGTCTTGGTGACATTTACTAATTTTTGTCATACTGAAACTCCGTGTTCCCAGCAGATGTTGAAATGTTGTGAAAAAAAAAATTATGTGATGGAACTTGTGCAGATTTTTCCTTATTTTAAAGAAGTAAGGGTGGGGATTTAGCTCAGGATTCTGGCGCCTGCCTTGCAAGCGTAATGACCCGAGTTCAATCTGCAGCATCAAAAAAAAAAAGAGTAAGCCAAATCCTTTTAACAGGACATACAACATTTCCCACAATGACTTAGCTGAAACACACACAAACAAACACACACAAACAAATACACACTCACAAACACACGAAAAAAATGTACCAACCAATTTTTAAAATTCACTTTTAAAGAGGCAATTTTTTTTTTCTTTTTATGGAGGTTATTGCTACATTCTAGGCATAAAGTACAACTACATTCATTACTGGGATCTTGTACCTTTACATGACAGGTGTTGGTTCTCATTTTTTCCCCTTCTCCCTGCCCTCCCTTCACCCCCTCCTCCCCTCCCCATTTACAAGCACTTTATTTCCACTTTGTCATTTTCTCATATTTTTTTCTTTTCCCTTATTCCCTTTGCCCTACCCTTCCCACTTTCCCTATACCTTCAGCCCTTTTCTTCCTATTTCACATTGTTAATTATCCCATTAGGATCTTTTGTACTATCATAGTTTTTCACACCAGAAAAATTATTCGGTATTTACACATGTGTGACTTATTTATTTCACTTAGGACTACATACTCAAAATATATCCATTTTCCTATGAATGACTCTAATTTCTCATTCTTTATGACTAATATTCCATTTTATAGAATAATCACATCTTCTTTAACCAGTTTCCAAATGATGGGCAAATGGACTGTTTCCATGTTTTAGCTATTACAAACTGTGCTGCTATAAACATAGGTGCACATATGTCACTGTGATATGATTCGTTTAATTCTTTTGGAAAGATACCCAATGGAGCTATGCCTGGGTCAAATGGAACCTCTAGGCCCACTCTTTGAGATATCTCCATATTGATTTCCATAGTGCTTCACCAGTCTGCACTCCCACCAACAATGGAGAAGGGTTCCTTTATCCCCACAACCTCGCCAACATTTGTTATTGTGTGATTTCTTGATAGCAGCCATTCTTTGTGGGGTGATGTGGAATCTCAGTGTTGTTTTCATCTGCATCTCTCGAACGACCAGTGATGTGGAACATTTTTTTATATATTTACTTGCTGCTTTTACTTGTTTGTCTGAGAAATGTCTGTTCATTTCAGATGCCCATTTTTGAATTGGGTCTTTATATTGGGGGGGCTGATTGTTTTGAGTTCTTTATATATTCTAGATAATAGTCCTTTGTCTGAGGAGCAGCTGGTAAAAAATTTTTCCCACGCTGTAAGTTATTCTGTTGATGGTTTCTTTTGCAGTGCAGAAGCTTTTTAAAAAGATGAGACCCAGTTGTTGATTCTTTCTGCTAGTTCACGGGCTACTGAGGATTTGTTCATAAAGTCTTTTCCTATGCCAATGTCTTTAAGAATTCTCCCTATCTTCCACCAAATTTAAGGACTCTTTTTTAATATTTAGATGTTTAATCCACTTAGATTTTAGTTTAGTGCATGGTGAGAGATAACGGTCTAGTTTTAATCTTTGGCAGGCTGAAATCCAGTTTTTCCAACACCATTTATTAAAGAGGCTATCTTGCTTCCAGTGGGGATGGTCAGCTCCTTTGTCTAAAATGACGTAGCTGAGTACATCTGGAGGTGTTTTTGTGTCTTTCAGCCTGTTCCACTGATGCTCAGGTCTGTTTCTTTGACAATACCATGCTATTTGTATCACAGTGGCTTTGTAGTATAGTTTCAATTTGGGAACTGTTATACCCGCTGCCTTGTCTCTGTCGCCTAGGATGGCTTTTGCTATTCTAGGTCTTTTCTGGTTCCAAAGGAATTTTTCGATTATTTTTTCTAGTTCTGTGAAATATAGTGTTAGAATTTCAATTGGCATTGCATTGAATCTATATAGCAGTTTTGGTAGTATGGCCATTTTCACTATGTTGATTCTTCCTATGCAGCAGCAGGGGATATCTTTCCATTTTCTCATATCCTCTTTGATCTCTTTTTTCAGAATGCTGTAGTTTTCAGAATAGAGGTCTTTTGCTTCTTTCATTAGATTAATTCCTAGACACTTCAATTTTTTGGATGCTATTGTGAAAGGAATTGTTTCGCTAATTTCTCTCTCAGTGATTCTGTTATTTGTGTAAAGAAGGCCATTGATTTTTGGATGTAGACCTTGTATCCTGCTACTCTGCTAAAAGTGTCAAGTATAGAAGTCTTTTGGTGGAGTGTTTGGGTCTTCAATGTAGAGTATCGTATCGTCAGCAAATAATGACAGTTTAACTTCTTCCTTTCCTGTCTTTGTTGCTTTAATTTCTTTCTCTTGTCTAATTGCTATGGCTAATGTTTCCAGAACTATATTGAAAAGGAGTGGTGATACTGGGCATCCTTGTCTTATTCCTCATTTTAACGGGAAGGTTTTCAGTTTTGGGGCATATAATATGATGTTGGCTGTTGGTTTATCATAGATAATCTTTACTAAGTTGAGATACAGACCATCAATTCCAATTTTGTGCAGAGTTTTCATCATGAATGGGTGTTAAATTTTGTCAGATGCTTTTTCTGCATCTATCGAGAGGATCATATCATTTTGTCCTTGACTCTGTTAATACAGTGCTTTACATTTATTGACTTATGTATGTTGAACCATCCTTGCATCCCTGGAATAAATTCAACTTGGTCAAGATGTATGATCTTCTTGATGATCATCGGTATTCTGTTTGCTGGTATCTTATTAAGGATTTTTACATCTATATTCATTAAGGAGATTGGCCTGTAGTTCTCTTTTTTAGTTAAATCTTGCCCCGGTTTGGGAATCAAAGTGATACTTGCTTCCAGGAATGAATTTGGAAGTATTGCTTCCCTTTCAATTTCATTGAAAAGTTTGAAGAGGATGGCAGTAGTTCTTCTCTAAATGTCTTGTAAAATTCAGCAGTGATTCCATCAGGACCTGGGCTTTTCTTTCTTGGTAAGTTTTTAATTACATTTTCAATTTTCAATTTCACTGATTGTAATTGGGGTGTTTAAAATGTTTTTATCTTCTTCATTCAACTTTGGTAATTCATAATTATCTAGAAATCTGTCCATTTCTTCTCTGTTTTCCATTTTGAGTACAGGTTCTCAATGAAGGTATTTACTATCCTCTGGATTTCTGTTGGATCTGTTGTGACTTTGCCTTTTTCATTCCTGATTGCATGGATCTGAGCCTTTTCTTTCCTTTTTTTTTGATAAGGTTTGCTAAGGGTTTATCAATTTTATTTATTCTTTCAAAAAACCAACTCTTCGATACATTTATTTTTTGTATCGTTTTCTTAGTTTCCATTGCATTGATTTCTGCTTTAATCTTTATAACTTCCACTCTTGTTAGAGCGTTGGGTTTCTCTTGCTCTTGTTTTTCTAGGAGTCTAAGATTCGTTGTTAGGTTGTTTATTTGAGCTCGCTCTGTTTTCCTAGTGTGGGCATTCAGTGCTATGAATTTTCCACATAGAACTGTTTCATTGTGTCCCATGGATTCCTATATGTTGTATTGGCATTTGCGTTTATTTATAAAAACTGTCCAATTTCTTCTTTAATTTCCTCTGTGATCCATTGATCATTCAGGAGAGTGTTGTTCAATTTCAAAGTGTTTGTGAAGTTCTTATAGTTTCTTATGCTATTGATCTCCAGCTTTATTGCACTGTGATCTCATAATATACAGGGAAAAACTTCGATTCTTTTGCATTTATTCAAACCTGTCTGTGAGCTAGTATGTGATCTATCTTGGAGAATGACCCATGTGCAGCTGAAAAGAATGTATATTCTAATTTTGTAGGGTGGAACACTCTATAGCCATGTAATAAGGCCATGCGTTCAAAAGCTTGGTTCAGTTCTAGTATTATGATGTTGATTTTTTGCCTAGATGATCTGTCTATTTGTGATAGTGGGGAATTTAGATCCCCCACTACAACTGTTTTAGTGCTTATTTGGTTTTTTATGTTACTTAATACTTGTTTTATATAGTTGAGGGCATGTAAATGTAGTGTATATATGTTTATGATTGTCATTTCTTCTTCTTGGATTGTTTCCTTTACAAGGATGTAGTGGCCTTCTTTGTCTCTCTTAATCAGTTTTGGTTTGAAGTTTGCTTTGTGTGCAAATAAGATTGCTATCCCTGCTTTTTTCTGTGCTCCTGTTGCATGGAGAATTGTTTTCCATCCTTTCACTTTCAGTCTATGGGCTTCTTTTTGGACTATGTGTGTTTCTTGTATACAACATATTATTGGATTTTGCTTCTTAATCCATTCTGCCAGTCTATTTCTTTTGATTGGTGAATTGAGGCCACTGACATTGATGGTTATAACTGATATGTACTGACTTCTTATTGTCATGTTATTGGCCTTTTGTTGACTTTTTAAAATTTTTTGCCCTCTCCTTTTAGTTTCTTGCCTTGACTATTTGATTTGCTCTGTTGGGCCTCATGGTGCTGTGATCTTCATTGTCTTTTTCTAGGATATTGTTTAGAATTCCCTGTAGTGCTGGTTAAGTATTCATGAAGTTTCTCAGGTGTTCCTTGTTATGGAAGTATCTTATTTCCCCCTCCATTTTGAAAGAGAGTTTTGCAGGATACATCAGTCTAGGTTGGAGATTGTTTTCTTTTAGGACTTGAAATACCTCACTCCAGGCTCTCCTTGACCTGAGTGTTTGTGTTGAAAAGTCGGCTTTGATTCTGATGGGCATTCCTTTGCATGTGATTTGTTTCTTTTCTCTTACTGCTTGTAGTATTTTGTTCTTCTGTTAGGTTTCTGGGATCTTGATTTTTATATGTCTAGGTGTAGATTTTTTTTAAATCATGGCTAGTTGGAGTCCTACATGCCTCACTTATCTGTATATCAAATTCTTCCCCTGTTTGGGAAGTTTTCTGTCATTAATTCTGTGAACAGCTTTTTTAAGTCATTTGCACTTTCTCCTGCTACTTCATGGATTCTTATCAGTCTTATGTTATTCTTCTTTGCATTATCTAGGAGTTGTTGGATCGATTTCTCATGATCCCTTACTGTTTTTAAGAGACCTCTCTTTTCATGCTCATTGTCTGCGATCCTATCTTCTATATTTGAGATTCTATCTTTGCGTTCTTTTATTCTGTTGCATACACTTTCAGTAGAGTTTTTAATCTCCTGGATATCTGTTTGAATCTATTTAATGGATTCCATTTCTTTCCTGTGTTGGGCATTCATTGTTTCCATTTCTTTCTTATGCTGGGCCTTCATGGCTTCTATTATGGTCCTGAGCTCATCTATTTTTTTGTCAGTTTTTGTTCTAGAGTCTCGAATCATGACTTTCATTTTGCTCACCATCTCTATGTTTATCTGGGAAATTATTTCTGTTTTGAATCTTTCTAGAGCCTGATCAATCTGTTTTGTTACTTCCTGTCCTGTGAGTTCTGAGTGTCCTGGTGGTTCACTATCAGACTTTCATCTTCCTTTGCCCTACCGTTTGCCATTGGTGAACTGGAAGTCTATCTTTGTGTCTTGCTTAAGTGTTTTCTCATTTTTATTTTTGCTGTTGGGTTGACCTTGATTCAATCTCTGGATTACTAAATCTTCCTGATATCATTGCGCTTCAGCCCCCAAGTCTCTAACGACTCATAGACATTCTCAATTTCACAATACCAGAGAAACCAACTCGTCCAATCAGTCCCTATCCCTTATCCCAATCAATACAATCAGCAACACAACAGGATCAATCACCTCCTGCAAATTGGCCACTTGTGGTAGTCCTCAATCCATCACCCTCCAACCATGCGAATTAAATTAAAATCAAGAAGCAGCCCAAAATATGTTTGCAGTGAACAAACTCCTCAACACAGTATATTTACCATTTAGGATGGGGGCCTAAACCTAGTTAGGACAAGATGAGTAAACAAGTAAAAGAACTGGAGAAGGTTTCAAGTGAAACCAGAGGATACAGAATGACAAAACAATCTTTAGGAAACTGTAAGACTCAAAAGGGATAGACAGAGTGCAAGTGTAAGGACAAGAATATATCCCCTTAACAGCAATAGGGGCTCACTTTCTCTTGAAACTACCAACCCATGAGTGAGGCTCAATGATAGAAAAAAAAAGAACATTGATTAAAAATAAAAAATGATAAAAGAAGAAATCTGAGTTAGGGCAGGAGCAGAAACAGAAAGGGAGATGAGAGACAATATGGTAGAGCAAGAGACTGAGTTAGTGAGAGAGGACAGAAAAAAGAATTTACAGAGTAGAATGAGGAGAAGAAAGAAAATTACCAAAAAATGACATTGAAGGGCCTCTTTCAGACTATATCTCTGCTGTCATAATACACATTGTGCGCAGCCATGTGCAGAACCAAATCCCCCTATTTCTGCTAGCTGAAGGCAGACCCCCACAACGCAGACTGACCTCAGGCCACAAGGACCAATTTGAGCTCCCCAACCTCCTGCAGGGTTGAACTCCAAACAGTTCTATTACAGGTTTCCCCTGCCGTTTCTTTAAAGATGTTCAAATTTGGAAGCTCAGAAATTTACCCTTTATAACCAGCTATGCCTCTGCGGAGTGGGTCTAAGGACTGGCACAATCAGGAGGTCTGGGGTGGGGGTGCTCAGCAGTACCTGTGCAGCTACCCTCTTGGTGCTGGAGCAGCAATGGCGGCACCCTCAAGGGAGGATGTGGCTACCTGGACCTGCAGACTGGGCCCAGGCAGGACGGAGGGAGATCTGATGTCCCAGCTGCTTTCCTGAATCTCACCTTCCTGGCCTACAGAGGCAATTTGAAATACCTATTCCTTTAGGTTATGTGATGGATTTGGTTTAAAGATCACAAGCTATTGCAGCACATGCTTTCTTTGCAGTACCACATCTTTGGTACTGTCAGAGCAGGCAGAGCAGTCAAGGATGTCCTCAATTAAATACACATCCAGCATGACACATGATATATTTTAGCATAAGGTTTTACATTCTCAAGTAAAGTAGTACTGTAAAATCAACTGACCATATTTTATATCTCTTGCTTTTAAACATAAAGAACAAATAAGTAAAATATAATTATTAAACTACTATAAAATGTTCTTTGTGTGTAAAAACTGCTTCTTTATTATAAATCAGTAATTTTTGGGTTGTTGTTGTTGTTGTACCAGGAATCAAACTCAGGACCTTGCACTTGTGAGGCAGGCAGCAGTACAACTAAATCCATGGTCCTATAAATCAGCAACTTTTAAAAGGTAGATGAGAATTACCAGTACTGAAAAATAAAAATGACTTATTCATTGTTTCATTTAATCTTAATTAACATATCTGGCAATCATTTTCATTTCATAAAAAGAATCACATAACTCCTTTAAAAAAAGTATAGTTTATTATGATTAATTCCTACTCTCATCTCACATGGACCTACGAAGAAGATAATAATTTTCATATAGTATGGTCAATGTCAGAAGTAATTATTCTATATCATTCATTTCTGGTCAATTATTTCTCCTTTTTATGAAAGCATTACAGAAAAACTAACATGAATTTGCTCTGTACTATATCTCCTCTTCAACCAGTATCAGATGCGACTGTTTCATTAGAGGCAAATTTTACATAGATAACATGTTCTACAAAGTAAGAACTTTCAGTTCTCTATCAGATATTTGAAATCTTTTAAGAAAAGATTAATGCCTAATTTTTGCATATGTGCTGCCTGTACTCTTTTATTTTTTAAAGAAATTTCCCACATTTGAAATTTTCAAATGTGCAAAGATGTTAAAAGGATGCTACAATGAATAAACTTTTTAGATATTAGCTAATATAATCTACAACTAACAAATTTTTCCTTCACTATTTTAAAGTAATCTACAAACATCATGATTCTTTACCCTACACAGGTTATGGGAAAGGAAATAAGGGAAAAGAAAAAAATATGAGAAAACAAAAAATTGGAAATAAAGTTTTTGTAAATAGGGAAGGGAGGAGGGGGTGAAGGGAGGGCAAGGTATGGGGAAAAATGAGAACCAAGATCTGTCATGTAAAGGTACAAGTTCCTAATGATGAATGTAACTGTACTGTATACCTAAAATGTACCAATAAACTCAATGAGGAAAAAAAAAATATTGGTCATAAAATCATAAAATAACATAACTGATCTTGTGTAAACCTTATAAATTTAAAACGTTTAGAGGTCTAAAGGGGGACACGAGCAGACATAAGTCACACAGTAATCAACAACAGAGTGGAAGGACAGAGACTCAATTTGTCTCACTTCAACAACACTCTATTTTCTAGTCTTAGAATTACTAGAAGAGGGCCGGGGGATTTAGTTCAGTGATGCCGTGCCTGCCTCACAAGCACTGAGTTCGATCTCCAGTACCAAAAAAGAAAGAAAGAAACAAACAAACAAACAACCTCACAGAATTACTAGAAGATCCCACAGCATCTCACCTGTATGCTAGTGCCAATGCCCAGGCCCCAGCAGCACAGTACAGACTGTCCTGGATCTTGGCCTTCTGATCACCACCACATGTTTTAGTCGGAAAGAGACCAGTGGTTGGACTTTGATACAGCAACAATGTTGATTTCACTGTAGTGGAACATAAGAAAAAAATTAATCATACAGCCAGCCACTTCCCTGGACTGAATATCTTAAACATCTTTGTTAACCTCATTCTATTTCTAAACAATTCCAACACTTCCAAACTTAGGTATACTATAAAACCTTTGAAGATGTTTAGCCACTTCATGTTGTTCCAGCCTAAGTAGGAATCCACCCAGCATGAAAAAATATTTGCACTTTGGAAAAAGGACTTAGTTAATTAGAACTTAAAGCCTTTAGCATATTCCAGTTAATGTGAACACTGATACAGATATTCTTAAGAATATTTGGTACTGCCAGGAATTTAGCTCAGTGGTGCTGCTGCCTGCCTTGTAAGTGCAAGGTCCTGAGTTTGATCCCTGGAACCAGAAAAAAAAAAAAAACAAAACCTTTAGCACAGAGAAAAATAGATCAAACACAACCAAAAAACTGAGCATAATATTTTTTTAGGTAACCAGTTCAATATGGAAACTTAAAGCAAATTAAAAGAGTGTCCCACATTTGCTAAATTATATAGCTAACTCAATCATTAAAAATTTAGGAAGATGAGAATACACCATAAAAAAAAAGGCAAGAATGCTGTATTTCACTGAGAACTAGTTTGTGATTGGTCTTCACAGAAGTATGTTCATTTTATTTAGTATATTGTACAGGTTAAGATATGCTTTAACATTTTAAAAACTGAATTCCATCTGTATATAGAATAAAGACATTAGCACATTTCCTAAAAGTGATTTTATTACTTTTGTTGTGGTTTGGCACAAACATGAGCCCCACAAGGCTCACGTATTTTATGGTGGGACTTTTGGAATTGGGTGCACTATTCTGATTGGGCTGTAGAGGTGAGGTCTAATTGAAGAAAATGGGTCACTCGGGTTGTAATTTGGAAGGGTTAATATCGTCCCCACTTCCTTGCCCTCTCTTTGCTTGTTGGCCACCACAGAGTGAGCACCTTTCCTCTCCCATACCTTTCAGCCAGGAGAGGTCTGTGCTCATATAGGCCTAAAGCAATGGAGCTGGCTGACTGTGAACTGAAATTTTGAAAGTGGTAACCAAAATAAAGCTTTCTTCCTTTAAGTCATTTTTCATGAGTATTTTTTGTTGGCAGCAGAAATTTAACTGTTTAAATAAATGGATGAATAATGCTTGTCTCAAAATATGTTAAGTTAATCTAATCTAAATTAATATATATTGACTGTGTATTTTATTTATTTGAGTTTATTGGTACATTTTAGGTATACAGTACATTTACATTCATTACTGGGATCTTGTACCTTTACATGACAGGTCTTGGTTCTCATTTTTTCCCCTTGTCCCTGCCCTCCCTTCACACTCTCCTCCCCTCCCCATTTACAAACATTTTATTTCCATTCTTTCATTTTCTCATATTTTTTTCTTTTCCCTTGTTACCTTTCCCCTATCCTTCCCACTTTCCCTACACCTTTAGCCCTTTTCTTCCTATTTCACATTGTCAATTATTTCATTAGGATCTTAAGTACTATTACAGTTTTTCACACCAGAGAAACTATTGACTGTGTTTTAGATACCTTTTCAAAAGACTAAAATACTCCTTCACTAAGGAATTAAACTTTTTCTCTCCATCTAAATTGATTTTATCATTAACATTTTTTTCAGAATACTCGTATAGAGTGAAATTTACTTTGGCCCTTCTAGTCCAAAATAATTGACATTTCTTTTAAAACTATAATTAGCTTTTCAGGTAGTTATTGCTAACAAAGAAGATAAAAAGAGTGACAATCCATACACCATCTTAACCAAAAATGTTAAAATAAAGTTTACAATGAGGACAAAATAGACAAAATCCACATTTTTGTAGGAGACAAATTTTTTTCTGCCATAATAGGACATTAATTGCCTATTGTCATGTGCCATAATAGGACAATAAATGGCACAAGAAACCTAAAAAAATTAATAGACATTCCAAAGTATGGTCTGAAGAATGAGTCCCTTATGTACATGTCTCACAGTTATTTATTCACATTTTTAAAAATCGTCAGGTTAATCTAGAAAAACAAAAATCCAGACTTGATATTAAAAGTAGTAACCTGAGATTATCTTTTGTATCTCAGTGAATTAGAAATGCATACAGAAGGTTCCGGATTAACTAGGGATTATGTACATATGTATAGTGAGCAAGTTAATATATGAAATATTTGTGTATTATTGAAGAAACATCCTCAAGTTCTAACACCTAGTAAGGCTTAAAAAACAAAGAAGATACTGGTGATAGTTGTAAAGTTATTCAAGGGCCAGATATAACCTGCTGGATTCCTTTTGCAGGCTTGGTATGGAACACATAGCAGCATAAGCACTGAAACCATCCCAAAATCCAAACAACAGAATAATATCATCTACATAATGTACACAGTACCGCTAGGGCACAGTGAATACTAAGCATAGCTACCATGTTTTCCTCAAGTTCTACTTACTAATTCTGTAATAATGATCCAATTTATCCCACAGCGTTTCATTATCAGGTTTTGGTAGATGAATGCTTTTAAGAGGTTCATAAACTGAGCCTGAAAGAAAAATGAAAACCCATCAAAGTCAGTCATTTTTCAATCAGATGAACAAAGAAAAGTTCTGAACAAAATAACCACATAATAATCTCATTTTCATTTTTATATATAAGCTACCATATTTTAGTATGGGTAAAACTCTAGATAAGGGAAGGAAAAAGAAGAAAGCACCCTTAACAACAGGTACAAACAAGTGTTAAATTTCACAGGATATTCCCACCCTGATGCCCAGCACTTGATCTAATTATCTGATGTGTACATTAGTCCTAACAACACAAATACACCAAACACTCATGTGATAGCCTCTAGTTTGATAATTTCCCATTTCTGAAAAATATAGCTAACTATGTGCCCTGAAATCCAAACCTTATGCCCTTATGCTGATGCTTCTCCAGGCAATTTTCAGTACAATGATCATACCCCAAAATGCTCAAGGAAAAAAAGCTCATATTTAAAAATCATTCACTCCACAAATACTGGGCTGGGTTTCATACTGAAATTCTTAACTCTGTACTTTCTCCTAAGTAGGTAATACTCTTCCTTTGTTATATGGACTATAAGCAGACATCATTTCTACTTCTCAGCCACAAAAACTACTCTGAGGCATTAGGAGAATATGCTGCTCAAAAGCTACAGAACACACAACAATCATGATAATTTGCCACAAAATGGGTAGAGAAAATTGTTCACTTGACTAGTGCACTTTCTTAGACGGTGACTGAAAGAAATTCTGCCATCAAATTAAAATTAAGTACCTTCTCTCATTCTTGTTAAAAGCACTCAGAAATCACCAACATTGCAAGATCACAATTAATCTACCTTTGGATTCAAGTAATGCATACCAGATGGTCTGACAACACACCACAAAAGTGAACCTATAATTTACCTTGGGGAGAGGGAGAAAGATGGTGTCGACATGCATTTAGATTCTGATTTTGAAAAAAAATTAAAGCATTTATGATGATAAAATAATGTCTAGTATGCTAGGTTAAAGCCAGGTTATTGGGAATTCCCCTAAGTTAAGGCAGATAATAAACATTAAAAAAGAAATAACCTATACAAGGCAATAATCCAATTATCTTCTATTAGAATAACAGGTAATTAGTAGATTACATATTTCATGGGGAAAAAAAGAAATATAAAATGCCCTGCTCTAAGCGAAGACATTTTCTTAAAAAAAAAAAAACAATCTTCCTAATGGCCCCAACTGGAATGGCTCCATAGTGAAGAATGGAAAGAATTATCAACACAGACAGGAGATTGTGAAGGATCCTTACTTGCTCCTATATAGAAATCAAGGGCCCAAATATGTTTTGTACCTTCCTGCATTCAATTAGCTCCAGGCAGGTATAAGCATGTAGGCAGCCTGGCAGTGGGAAGGAACAACAGGGTCACTGAAAGTAAGGGAGTAAGCTCTGGGAGACTTCACACTTATAGTGAAGATCACTTATTAAGAAAGAAAGTAATATCAGATACAAATAGTCACAAGTAATAAATTGTGTGTGTGTGTATGTGTGTGTGTGTTGAGAAGATTTTAAGGAGCAATTTTTGCTGCGTTACAATGGTAGGTGAACTGATTTTGAAAGATAGTTTTAATGTTTTATGGTTTAAGGTGTTAATGGTTTTAGGTTGAAAAAATATTTATTTTTAAAAGTGCTATTGCATTTAAGACAAAATAAAGTAAAATGACTTTGTCATCTAATTTTGCTCCAAGAAAATCACCAATGGAGTTTTGATTTTTTACAGGCAACAATACATAAGCAGATAAAAATCAGACCTGTCAAGAAAACGCCTATGTAGTAAGAATTAAAGACCTAGGGACACAACTCAATAGTAGTAAATCTGTATAGTATACATGAGGCATTAAATTTAATCTCTAGTACTGCAGAATGAAAGAATATATACACACACACACACACACAAAATATGGGGTAATGTTCAAAGCACAGCAGAGAATTATAAAAATCATCTAACTTATTAAAAATCAAGGTTTTATCACAATGAGTTAAGAATAACTTATTTAAGTAAATTTTAACATTTTAGTGGTCATTGTGTTTCTTCAGTAACTGCACAAAATTAATTACAATAGTCCATGCAATTTGTGGTGAACAATACCAAATATCTGAAGTAAAAGGAAAAATAATCAATGGTAGCATTTTAAAAAAGAATTACACATCTGGAAAGCATCAATACAAAAAAAAATAAAGAAGAAAATCATTAATGGAACACAAATTCTGGAAAATTAAATGGATGAAAAATTATAGCAGAAAATACTAATAAATGGTTAGGGTCAAAACTGAAATACATTTTTAAATACAAATTTTTCATTTGTATATTTTTCTATTTGAATTATGTCTATATCTAAACATTACAAAGTAAAATAGAACTAATTTATTTGTTATGAAGTCTGTAAAGGCAAAACTAATAAACTTTATGTGTTAATTTCCTTTGTGCTACAAAAATATGATGTACAACTTCATTTTAGAATACATTATTGTCAAAGGAATACAATGATAATAAGACAAGAAGAGGCAGAAATGATTACTTGAAGAGAAATATTACAGTTTTATGATGAAATATGAAAGCTCTATATACTAACATATTAAAGCAGAAGCTATTTCCTAAGAAATGCCCATAAGCCCAAAAGAATATAAAGACTATACACTTAACAAAGGAATAAACCTTCTGAATTTTATACTGCAAAATATCAAGAAGGTTGCTGAGTATTATGGGGTAGCTCTTAAAAAATTATAAATAACAGGTGACATAGTAGCACATGTCTGCAATCCCAGCTCCTTGGAAGGTTGCAGCATGGGGGGACTGCAAGTCTAGCCTGAGCAACTGAGTGAGATCCTATCTCAAAATAAAAGTTAAAAGGTCTGGGAATATAGCTTAATGGTAGAGCCTTTGCCTAGCATGCACGAAGCCCTGGGTTCAGTCTCAGTACTGAGGGAAAAAAAAATCACAAAAGCATTTATAATTAAAATAAGAAGCATTGAAAGACTAAGAAAGATTTCCTAGAGGAAACTGTAGGTGGAAAATTGTTCAGCAATATTCTATTATTATGGAATGGTATTTTCCATTATATGATTCAAAGCTCTAATATATACAAAAATGTAACTCATCAAGAAAGAGTATGAAGATCCATTAAGTAGCTTTATCATATATACATCTATAATATCTATATAAAGTACTCGCTTTGGCAGCACATATACTAAAATTGGAATGATACAGAGAAGATTAGCATGGCCCCTGCGCAAGGATGACGTGCAAATTCATGAAGTGTTCCATATTTTTATACTCCTAAGTGAAATAAATAAGTCACACATGTGTAAATGCTGAATAGTTTCTCTGGTGTGAAAAGCTACAATAGTACATAAGATCTTAATGAGATAAGTGACCATGTGAAATAGGAAGAAAAGGACTAAAGGCATAGGGAAAATGGGAAGGGTAGGGGAAAGGTAATAAAGGAAAAGAAAATATAAGAAAATGAAAAAAGGGAAATAAAGTGCTTGTAAATGGGGAGGGGTGAAGGGGGTGAAGGGAGGGGAGGGACAAGGGAAAAAAATGAGAACCAAGACCTGTCATGTAAAGGTACAAGATCCCAATAATGAATGTAATTGTACTGTATACCTAAAATGTACCAATAAACTCAATAAAAGAAAAAAATGTATATAAAAATAGTAATAAAGATAAATACCATCATTTATTCATTTAACTAATACTGTGGAGAATATATCCAGAAGCTAACAAGGCTTACATCCTAAGGGGGAAAACTAAAAAAAATTCTGAATAAAAATAGTATAAGGTAGACATTCTCTACTTCTTAAAATACAAACTAGGCCAAAATTCAGACCTGTTGTGGGATTGAAAAAAAGGGGCAACATCTGCCTTGCAAATTCTGCAAGATTACTTGAGTAACCTCAAGTAATCAATCACCATATAAAGATGAGACAACTAAAATATAGGAAAGCATAAAATTATAAAAACATAGATATAGATGCACACACTTAATATTCATAGTTGTAAAACTTAGGAAAATGCACCTATCTACTACATACCGAAATATTTTAACTTAGGGAAAAGACTTAGATAAAGGAAATGTCATTAATAGTAAATTTTATTTAACAACTGAATTGTGTCCTTCCAAAGATAGAGCAGGGCCAGGGATTTAGCTCAAAGGTACTGCACATGCCTTTCAAATGTAAGATCCTGAGTTCAATTCCCAGTACTAAAAAAGAAAATAATCAAAAGACTGAGCATTTTATCATAAATTGAAATCCTTAGGCTTATAGGATTCTGATTTTTTCCAATTAAATAATTTCTCTTCAAAGTAAAAAAATGAAAATTCTACCACCCTAAAATAGTCACCATTAATATGTTAGTGTATTCCTTTTAGACATTTTCATCAGAAATAGTTACATTCATAAAGTTTAGTAAATATGAGATAATAATACATATGCTATTTTTATCATGGACAATAATCCTTTTGTCCCATACCTCACCAGCAGTCCCCTTCTGGTCTACCTCTCAAATAATCATACTTTTTTCCATGTCTGTATAATCAAGATTAAACAAATATACACAAACAAGGGGAGAATTTGCAGAGTTTTCATAAAAATGGGATCGTGATACACAGTCATCCTTGCATTTTGCTCTTATCATTTAACCACACACGAAAAATCACTCCATCCTTGCTAAGAACTGCTTTCTATGTTATGGTCTATACCATAGATACAGTACATTTTATTTAACTATTCTCCCCTGAGTGGGAATACAATTTGTTCTTGTTCCCACCATCATAAAGAATACTGCAGAAACATCCTTATATACAGTTAGAGCTAATAGTGTGCTAAAGCCACCCACTACCCCTGCCTGGAGCCCAACTGTTACATTTCCAGAAAGTTTAGGACAGGATTTCTAACAACTATTATTAAAAATTAAATTTTATAAACTTACCAAGTCATCAATAAGACATTAAATAAACTCATCAATTCTTA